TTTTTTAGTATTTACGAATATATGTTTGATAACATRTTTGRAAATGAAAAATGATTAAGAATTTATATAACATTGACTGCTATTGAAAATTTGACAGTTCATTATTTTTCGAAAAATTACATATTTTTATATTTACCTATTTTGATKGTTAAATATTAGAAGATGACTAGGACCRTATTGATATATAAGGAGCAAAGTATTTTACTTTTGAAATTTGAATTTGAATTTTAAAATTTGATCATTTACGCGTACTTAGTAATATATTTATAAAGGGGTGTACCAATTAAATATTTATAAAACATTGTTTGGGGGAGGAAATATCCTGGACACGTGGAGGACAACTATTGACGTTTCAAGATGACTCATGAGTCATGCCCAACTCGAACCGCCGAGATTATCACCWCCAGCATTGACAGGTGCTAAGTATAAGGGCCGAGGTGCGACCTGGTCAAGGTCCGATCTACCAAGAAGCTCGGCGGGTCCGATATGAGCAACTGTTAGCGGCATGATTATCGGGTGTAATCCTCAGTCCCGAGATTTACGGGATTAACCGTCGATCCCGAGAATACCGGATGTAACCGTCGCGAGATTAACGGGACTACCACCCATAAGTAGAGGACCTCACTCCACACTCAGGTAGGATCTTGGACCTCGAACTAAACTGGGAATCCGACCTATACTGACTTGAGCGTCAGAGTGTTCACCTTTTTGTGCAGGTCGGCCCAAGTGTTCAGGTCGGTCCGGAGATCGGGTACGAGCTAAGATCAGACAAACACTGTTGTGCATATTCTTGCATAAACAAACATTATCAACCAATAAGATATATATTATAAATTTTGTATAATTATTGTTTTATAATTTATAACATATTATATTTGATATGTTTTAATCTTAGTAAAAAATGAAATATATTTATGACATGAAATAATATTATATGCACAAATGTCAAAAAGATCTTGTGAAAATGGATTCGATGGAGCGAATTCGAAGATGAAAATAAGAAATAAAA